TTTATTATCAGGCAGTGACTGTCCCTCCAGTATTCCCAACGAGACATGACTAGATAGCTTGGCCTCCCTACTTCCTTCCTCTGGAAACCCAAAGCTGCTTTTTTCCCCTCCTTATTCTCAACATCGTGGTAGTTTAGTTTCTTCCAAAGATGTTGTTTCCTCACATACATTATTTCCTGAGACTGATCACTTGCTGGACGTATTTTTTCTATCATAAAACTCTCCGGTGAGATCTCTCCTATACAAGCTCCCCAGGAAGATTGTAGCTGTCTACTTCCTTGCAAACGAGATAAATTCCCCCCAAAAATCGCATAATCGCAGTGAGGTCACTGTCTTACAGAACCACAGTTCAGGGACGACCACAGAGGAAAATTATATATGGCTTGAGGAAGCTGGCCAAAGATGTGGAGCTACCACTTCAATTGCCTATCACCTATTAGTTCACCAGTCCAGCCACCCATTTAGAAACTATATCCAAGCTTGCACACCAGGAACAAGCATGAAGCACAGGGATTTTAAGTGATCAGCTGCACCACAGCAGGGTGTCACTTCATCATCACCCAAAACTGCAAATCTGAGATCTCCCTATCTTACATCCTGAGGGCACTCACCTTCATAAATGAAAATGCCCTGTGCATGACAGGGGCAGAAGGAGGGGGAAAGAAGGTGGCATATACAATTTTCTCTCTCAGGAGAGGAATGTCAAAGAATTGCACGCCACAGAAGCCATTCAAATTAATGTATCCCTACAGACACTAATTACAGATACACTGTTTGAAACTGTGAAGCCTCCTTCTTAAGGCAGCACTACGACGACTTATTTGTCAACTGGTTTTGTCAGGTTGATTTTTATAAAGAAGCAAAAACTGTGCTTGAAAACAAACAAAATCAGACTCAGAAATGAGTAAACCTATTTTAGATTGCACTTGGAGAACCATACAGATTTTTATAAACTTCTGATGTCAAAACATATATCCACTCAAGCCTTCTTAATAGTGAACCACAAAAACTAGCAGAACTTTCTGTCAGCTTCCCAAAAACTATTTGCTTAGCTGGCAGCAGCTATCCAGGTACCCCCTAAATGCCAGCAATGGAGAAGAAGGAACTGCACAGCCTTGTTTTGGTGTGCTATTACAGCCACAGGACATGGCCCATGATCCTACTGAAGGGATAAGAAAGACAGGAATTCTTCAGCTATTCAGGTAAAAAAAATACATTCAGGTGTAAGCAAAGTTCTGCAGCACCTGCATCTCCTCCAACCGACCAACATTTTTGTTCAACACTTTTCTAGGTTAACTTTTGCCCTATACTCATCTGTGAAGAGAAAGAGACTTCTTAGCCAAATGACAAAAATAAATTATTCTGTTCTGCCCTGAAATGTCAATTTGAAAAAAGAAATACACACGTGCTCAGACAGATTTATTTCACAATGAGAAGGGTGAACTTTTAGACTGTCCATAGTCCAATGTCAGCAAAGTTGCTTTGGAAATAACGGGAGTTGTGTGTCTCAGAGCCCCGCAAGCTGTACCCTGCCTTTTACAGTTCTCCTTCATGGTTACATCAATCCTCTTTACTATGTTTGAGAAAAGCAGTAAAACAACGGAATTGTTTAAATGATGTACTTATGATTTTAACCTGCTATCTGAATCATCCAGGGATTTCTTGGAAATGATGGCTAAATGATGAAGGATAAATGTAACCTAGAGTTCTCTAGCTGGAGTTTCCATCTCACAGTGCAGTTTAAATGAAGATCCCAGTAGCAAATCGTAAGATTTTAACTGAAGGGAAGGAGATTTACTTTTATACATCACCTATACTCCAACTTTATGAGCTTCCAGTTTGCATACAGGCAATAAAAAGCCCCTTGGCTAAACACAGATATTGGAATAAAGTATCAGTTAACAGTAATTTCATCCTGCAAGTGTTCTTACCCATATCACCTAATGAAGAAAGATTATTTTAAGGGAAGAGCACTGAAAAGGAAGAAAAAAGCAAAAAGGGAGAAAAGAAAAAGAACTACAAAGAAATCACAGTGTTGCATAGAACCAAAACATCCAATTATGCTTTGATCATGGCTTGAATTTCAAATGCTACTGTCATCATTATCTTCTATCGTGCAACTTCTTTCAGTGATTACTTGATATCTGTGATATATGTCAGATGTACAGAAAAACAAAGCACATTATAGGCAGAAGCAGAAACTTATCTTGCAGATATAATAAAGCCCATCTCTCAAACTTTATTAAGAAGCCTGTCAACAAAGCAAATCAATCACTGAGTGGATATGAGGCATAATGCTTAATTCCCTCAATCAGCATTTTCCTGCTTGCCAGGAGCACCTCTCCTGGGTGGGCTGACAAGGTGCAAGCTAATTTACAGATCCAGGAGGAGTCAACTGCATCCGGATAGCACTGCTCCCACGTTAATTAAGAGGAGAACTGAAAAGTAAAGTTCACTCAGAAATGGTAGTGAGGGAAAAAAATAACTCAAGGAAATGTTGACTGTTATGAAAAGCAAACAACAAAGCGATTATCAGATCTTCCTATCAGTCAAATTACTGTTGTTTCCAGATTAAAGATTTCAGAAGTGTTATATTGAGCATACAGACAAGGTTACTTCCTATTGAGCTGGGAGTGTCTGATTAAAAATGGTATTAATTTCCACTTTCACACTCATTTCCATCTAGAGCTTTCAAAGCCACACGGGAACACCAGACACCAGACTCTGAGGTTGGAGGGCAGAGAGGAGCCAACGAGCCCAGCACCGAGCCAGCGGCTCTCTAGAACATGAAGGCTCCTCTCTTTGGATGGGACCCTCTGCAAGTCAGCCCTTTGCCTGCGTGCCAAAGTTTGCAAGAAGAAGTAGCCATCTCACAGGTCCTCTGGGTACTGTGAATGTTACACAGGAGGAAACTGAGGAACGAGGAGCTGCCCATGCTTTCTACATGCTGTAAACACTTTCTGACTGAATGCACAAGACAGTACTCATGGTATCCAACTAGCTTCTTACAGTCCACAGAATTTATCATGTATAATTTGCCTTGATTTTGCCTATCATTTCTGCTGTAGAAAAATGGGAAAGACTGCAGAAGAAAACCAGTCAACATTTCGTATCTCCAGCCATCCCCCCTTGCCCAATGCCAGGTGCAACTCTCAGCTCTGGGCTTAAACTTAGGCAGGCAGACACCCAGAGAGGCTTCCTCGTGGGACTCGCAGGGGACCAGGGTGAAGAGTTCTCCTCCTGTCTGAAGTGTGGGACTATCTCCCATGATTTTTTTAGTATTCTGTGGTATATGCTATCTAACAACCCAATATTGTTCTGTGTTTTCTAAACACATTTTCTAACTAACTATTGTTTCTATTAACTAATTCTGTTATATGATTCACAGACACAGAACAACTCTCAAGAACCTACACAGTTACAACCTAGGTTCAATTAGTGTTTTACAGGATAAATAAGGGAACAGTATGAAAGTTAACTGAAGCTCCACTTATGTTTTCAGAACAGATTCACTGTTAGTAAATCTTTGAAATAATACTGGTGTCTCACTTCAAAATTAAATAATGAATCACTGCATATACAAAAGAAAACAAACACTGTCTTAATATTGTTTTTGCTTGGAAATACTTTTATTTAGCTAGCTAAAAGAAAGACTGATTTTCTTGCTCTCTCACCCCTTCTCACAAGTGATCAAAGGTGTTTGTCATGTTTCACCATTTACTCAGAACAGCAGGGTGTCACTGAGCAGTCTGCTCCTTTCAGATCACTTATGTCTGCTGGAGAGATGACTCCTTTCACAAAAACTCCATGCTTGGAAAAATTCAGGTCTTTCACTGACCCTTTCTCCAGACTGTGGGTTCTCAGAGCACACAACCTTATTTAGATCCTGTTTTCCTTGAAAGGAGCATGCTGTTTTTCAATCTCAAAGCGATTCATCTCTTTCACATCACACCTCCATGATACCAAGCAGTCTTCATAGCAAAGCAAAGAAAAACACTCATTTAGTAACACATAAGCTTTGAGTACAGTATTAGGAACAGTGCAGCTTGAGAAAAAAACAAAACCCAAAATTGTCTGACCTGTCAAAGGATACATGCGCTATTTAGACATCACCAAAGACTCTTTCCAAGACCAAGTAATTTGTTGCTTCAAACCATTTTTTGCTTTGCAGTCCCTTTAGCTTGCCAGCCATCACCTTCTCCTCCATTCTGCGCTGCTTCCCTTCCATGACACCACTCATAGGCTCAAAAGCTGAGAGATCAGCCGACATACATATGGCTTCATCAGTCACAACATAAATAACTAACAGATGAAACTTCATTTTATAATTCATTCTTACACTGGATTGCAAAGCACCTACCTGAACATGTCTCCTAAGCCTTTCAGCATTCCTTTCTTTGCCTTAATTTTATCCTTCTCTTTATCTCGATCTTTCTTCTTTTCCTTTCCAGCCTTTTTTCTATCGCCTTTATCTTGGCTTCCATTCATCTGTCTCTCCAACGAGTGGGATGGCTGGTCACTTGCTGTGGATACAGACTCTCTACCAGATCTTGAGCTCTCCTCTGTGTCTTCCTCCACTGAAAGCAGAAATTAAGAAACATCAGTGAGATAAGAACAAACAAGGGCAGGCTTTTTGGTATATCGTGTAATGTATTTTGAAGCAGGATATACGCACAACCACAAAATACTATTATTTTTTTTTTTTCCAAAATCAGTATCTGCTCAGGTGGAGGTTTCACAGAATGTTCATTTGTACTACTAAACTCTTACAAACAAGGAATTCACCTTTGCAGAACACTCTGTAAAGCACAATTCATGCTTTGCTGATACTCTAATAATGCATGGATTAATAAAGAGGATTAGCAAAGTGATGCCAATCGGCCCATTTTGTTTCAGCATCTAAATCAGCTGAGGAGAGCTGTAGAAACACCTGCAAGAAGAAACAAGAGCAGTGCAGCATGCCTTGTCAGTAAATTCGTAGTAATACTCTCATGAAAATATGAAACTCATTAAGGACTTTTAACCCTCAATAAAGCCTTAATAGACTTTTTCTTCTGCTGCAAGTAACATAATGGTTGTGCCGCACTACTTCATGCGCTGGAGCAGTTTAAAACACATCATGCACCATGATTTTTATTCTTGGTTGAGATGGGGCAGCCTGGGAGGTTTGGATGGTGAGATTCCATCCAGTGGAACAACTAAAATCCTTTGATGGCAGATAACATATTTCTTCTCTGCCTCTAATCCAAGACCAAGACTTAGAGTATCCTAAAGTATACCCCAAGTTAGATTTAGCAAAGCTCATATATTTTGGAAAGTTTGAAAGAAAAATGACCAAAAGAAACAATCCATTCTAAACTGAAAATTCCCCCAGTAGCTTAGTGAGAAAGAAACAAAACACTTCAAGCTAGTGGGTCAGAATCCTACAACCATTTTGAATTAACTTAAGTCCAAAAATTAGTGCATGGCTGCTGGAGGTGTGACCTTCCACGAGCTCCAACATTTCATATCATCACATTCTAAGTAGGGCTACACCAAATCCCAATTTTCCAACAGACAGCACGAAGCAGCAATTAGGATCATAGATGCAGACTTTGCGCTGTCTCCTGTAGCTCTAACAAATACAAAGGTTCCAAACAACTTTTGGCAGTAGAAGTTGAAAAACACAGCTTTGCTTCACATATACACAGTTTCTGGAAAGGAAATTTTTTTTTTATACTGTTAAGATTTGGAAATAGCCATGTCTTATAGAAGGAAAAAAGAATCATTTTTTCTTTTAGCATATGTTTACCTCTTCTATTATTATTCCTACTAATATTATTGTTTCTAGACCTCAAAGAATCTTCTACAGCCAACAGAAGTGTGTAATTCTTCAGAAATTTCTCATATGTAGACTACCGTAGAATATAAACTTGCTTTTCTTAGTCATCTTTCATATTCACCTTACAAGTAATTCATTGAACCTGAATCCACATGCCTACACTGACTGCAAGCCATTTGATATCATCTCTTCGCTCTCTCAGATGCTTGCCTGCAAAATACTGTTTATTCATTAATATTACAATACAGACCTGTCCAACAGCCTTAGTACTTATGCACTAAGTATCCCAAGATTTCGATAAATATTCTTCATCACTGGAAGATCACATAAACATATTTCTAGAAGAATATACCATGCCAGATAAATCTCCTCACTAATAACTATTTTTGAATCTCAACTACTACTCTGAAGTACAAACCAACAGGAAAAAAAAGGGGAAAAACAAAAAAAAAGGACAGGTCTCAGTATTTCATGTTAACTTGTCTTCAGGACCGTGATGAGTTAAGCAGATGATACAGCTTCTCAACTGTAGGCACAGTTTTAATATTCAAATAACTGTATTTTAGAAAAATAATAGGCCTGTCCTATACATGCTTTGCATGAGCTGTACTTGTACTTTTTTAGGTCCCAGCGCTTCTTACTCAATGCCTGGGATGATATTTAGTTATTATTAAAAGAGTGGTGGAAAACCACTTTGGAATAGAGATGCTGATTTTTTGCGTGTTAATTTATAGCTACAATCTGTTCCAGCTAAAACCAACTAGACATTTAAAAGATTGTACTTGCAAACAAATATAATTAGTTAAAAAAATGCTTTACATTTCTGATAAATTCTGAAGTAAAATGTTTACTTGGTACTTCATTGCTAGAATTTTAAAAATGAATCAATTTGGACCTATGGTTGTTCACATTCATAAAACAATACATTAAATTAATCCTAAATATGTATTAAGTGTACTGCGCTATGCTGAGTTGCTGAACAACTTGTCATAAGTATGCTTCCTCTTATTATTTATTTTGCATATTCTATGGAGATAATATTGCCTCCTTTCCACACTGGTGCTGCAATAAATATTTGTCTGTCAGACACAGTTTGCTTGTAATTAACTCCGTAGCTTAGAGCGAGCCCTGTGAACTAGGATGCCTGTTCTCCTGGAGTAAACGCTGGTGTCACTACTGCAGGAAATAGATTTCCCATTTTCTTAAAAGGACTCAACATGAAGAAACTTGTTTCACTTTCATGCAGCACAATCATTCTGCAATTAACATACACCTAATTACTAGTGTTTAGAACAAATGCAAATGCTGCTCAATTAAAATTCAAGCCCAGGCTACAAATGAAATTCCTAATTTTTGTTAAGTTGCAGTAATGACATTAGGTTACTGCAAAACACAGAGTGTTTTTGTTTTGGTGCTGTTATTTCCTTCCTTTCCTGCAACCTCCTGCCTCCCCATTCAGGATGCTGAAGCCAAAAAATTAAATTGCAGTATACTTTAAACATCAGTTAAACTTGAAAACTTGTGTCATTTCATGAACCACACTGTACTAAGGAAAACAACAGAAACAGGTATTATGAAGCTATTCTCCTAATTAGGCCATAAAATGGAAAAGATGCACATGAGGAATCAAAGCTACTTAATGCGAAGCTATTTTGCCACTAAGCTCCTAGGCCCCTTATTGTGATATGTAACACAGCCCTAGATTCTAGCAATTAAGATTCAGGAAAAGATTAGAAAGCTTTGTTGATCTCTCCCAGTCCAAATGCCTTGTTCTCATTCAAGACACTAAAAATAAAGATTTTGCTTCCATTATCTGTAAAAGCATAACACCCACACCTTTCCACAAATGTTACTTCTTCACAGCCATGAAAACTAACATGCCTCTTCTCAAATACTTTTTACAATATTGTCCCAGAACTGGTCAGTGCTATCTGATTTTCATCCTACATTTAGCGATTTAATAACACGTTGTTCCAAAAACAGCAAGTACATTCCAAAGAGAGTCGGCCCCTTTTGCCACATACGCTACCTGTATTTTTATGGCTTTCATATGTGGGATGATGACATGTTAAGAATTCCTCTATACAATTTACTGCAGTCCTATTATTTGCTACCCCCAAAGAGGGTCACTCTCTGGAAGAAAGAAGCAGTCTTAGCACTGAAACACTTGGAGGAGACAGGGGAAAAAATTCAAGACAAATGGATCCAACCTCAAGGGCATCAGCAAATTCACCACCAACATGTTTCCCTGGGTTTCATAACAAGAAAGTCACATTTTAATTTCAAACAATTATGGAATAATTAAATGCAATTAAAAAAAACTTAGGTAATGTCGTTATGGCAGCAGTGAGGCATTAGTTACATTAGGACCAGATTGTTAAATTAACTTCTACATCTTGGTGTGTGCCCAGGCTTTGTCCAGCTGAAGACACCATTTGGTAAATTCTTTGGAACCTAAGGTCACATATAATTCACACAAAGTGGAGCAGACTGCAGTTGCTTTCAGTTTTAACACAGATACAGACACGTTCTTGGAAAGACAGACCTGAGGACCTGCCATTTTGTGCTAGGCCCAGGCAACGCATGGCTGGGCCAGCTCTTAAGTTCCCACAGACACTGTGAGAAGTGGAAGACCTCGAGGACTGAATTCTGTCCAACCAACTTACTGTATTTGCTTTGCTTTGCTAACCTGGCACTGCAAATTTCTGGATTCCTTCTTAGCTTGTTTATTATAATCAGTGGAAGCTATTAAAACACAGGTAACTCAACAGAATGCGTAGTTCTATGCATATAACTTGGTCACGCTTTGCTCGGCCCTTCTTTACCATGTGAGATTTCAGAACAGGCTTGCTCTTGCTCTCCCTTGACACGAAGATGGCTCTCGGTCCATCAGAGCTAGACGACTTCATCCACACAGAGAGATGAGGGCAAAGACTCATCCCACGGTGTTTCCATTTCAGCCAGGGGGCTTTGTCTGGTTTTCACGACTCCCAGCATACAAAGGCCACCAAATGCTTCCTTGTTACTCTCTATGCATTGCTTCAAGAAGCTCAAAACCCCTTACAGTAATCTCATAAAGCTATACTCCCCTAGAAAGCGCTTCATGACAACAGTTTTGCTATATTTTTGATCAACTGAAGTTAAACCATCTGTAACTTCTGGATAAGCCTTGGATATCTGATACCTCAAAACAGGATATCAGTTGGCTCACACCAAACAAGGCCTTTCAGAAAAACACGCTGTTATGTCCCAAAAGACCATAGGCACATAGTTCAAGAGAACGATCAGGATCACTACACATTTCCTCATACCTATTCTTCTACTGGCCAGAAACAGATTTACAGGTCAACAGCACCAGACCAGCATTTGGCCTCACTGCTGTGTGAAATTGCTAGGTGCTGGGAAAGCCAAGCAAAATTAATTCCATCCACAACTACCTTTGAGAAAAGTGACTGGCAAAATGACCTCCCTTTCAGTCTCAGAACACTTTAGAAACAGAAAGATTTAAAAAAAAAAAAAAAAAAGTAGTAGCTTATAAAAGAATATTAGGGAACAACGCTTATGAAACAGATTTTCTGAAACTAAAAAGTTTCAAAAAGAGCGAAGAGTGGAAAATGTCTTTCCAAACCTTTTCTGTTAGCATTCAGGCTAAATATTTCACTACTTCAACCTTCCCACCATCACCTTCATTCATAAACTTCTAACTAGCTGCAGGCTGATGAAAAAAAATTCTCCTGGTGTGTGACAAGTTGAAAGTAGTACAACATGAAGGTTAAAAATTCAGTGATTTTAATACAACCCCTGACTGAGGTAATTTACCATTCATACTATTTTCATTCAATAGGAGTTGTCATTTTACCAGCCCATTCTTACATAGTTCAATAATGATAAGGTTAGCTTTGAAGCGAGTCTTTTACATTAATGACATTCTCCACATGTTGGGTCATACTTCGGGTTAAAGAACTGAAAATGTAAATGAATGCCCATTAGGGTGGTAATAGCTGATCATTAACTTTATATTTTATTAGATCTGCCAGCCTTACTCACTCTAATTAAAGGACAGTGATTTCTTTTTTTCCCCCAGACACGACAAATGTACTCTTTCAAAGTCAGATGCACATATTTTTGTAACATAAATTCAGTGGGTTTTTTGTCTTTCTGCATAATTATTTTCTAATTTACACTAGTAAACTAATTAGCTGTCTTAAAGAAAATTTTCATAATAATTAAGTAAATACACTCCTAATAATTTTATTTCCTTATTTTAGAAAGGAAGGAAGCTGCAGAGTGTTGCAATCTGTTAATGCACATGAACGGGAAAAGCCTGAAAAAAATTGAAGATGCGAAGTTAGTTCTATTCTTTTAAAATACTAAAATCATCCTCTGCTATTTTTAATCACTTTCTGAAGAAAATAACCTATGTTGTTAAAATTCTTTATGTACAGCAATAGTTTACTTACAAGTTTCCATGCCTTCATCATCATCATCCGCTACAGGTTTATCATATGATTTGTCTATGGCAGCTCTGAAGCTTTCATTGCAGCCTCGTCCTCGGATAATTCGCGGGCGCGGGCGGTGGAAGGGAATATCTCCATTCAGAGTCACCTCAGCAACGGCTGTCTGCAGGCTTTCTAATGAGCTGGATTTCTTCAGACCTAATGAAGGCCCCACATCTCTGGTCGGGGAACCTTAGTGATTTGGGGGGGGGGAAAGAAGTAATTAGGATTAGTACTGAGAACTGCATGCTTGATTATGCATATCCATCCCGAAAGTCTTTGGGGACACACTTAACATTATTCACATCATCTCTCAATAATCTGTAGGGAATTCTCCACAGATTTGTTGGTCTCAGAAGCGAATGAGTACGTCAAGTCACAGTCAACAAAACCGACAATGTTAGCAACGTCTGGCTTTTCAAATCAGTGAAGAGAGACCAACATCCATTGCTATTATTCTAACAATTTGAATGATAAAATAATCACGGGGCTTTAAAGACATTGCTCATAAAAAAAAAAGCAGATACACATATCTAATGGCATCACACAAAACTTCATTATTTTTGTTTTGAGCAGAATATTTCATCTGTACTAGCAACTGATGAACAGAGCATGGATTATGGGCACAAATCCTACTGTGTTTAGAGCAACACTCTTGCAAAGCAGCCTGACTTCTGGCTTCAAGGAACATGCTGTTTGCTTCTAATCGAGTTTTAAAGACTTGCATCAAATTGATAACAATTTCATAATGAAATGCTTCTGTGAAATATCAGTTGACTTGCTGGGGTTTTGTGAAGTTGTTTAAAAATAATCTGTGGAAAGGACCCAATTAGTCAGGCAATACCAGTTATCCGGCTGGATAAGAAACGCATTCCTGGCAGTCACTAGGCTGACCTCTGGGCAGCACCACAGCTGGGGCTGAGGGCAGCTCTCAGAGCTGCAGCATGTCCGGAGGTGTGCCAAGAAAACCCCAGACAGTACTCTGCAAAAGCCTTTCCCCGTCCAGACTTTTCTTCTCAGGTTTGTGGACTAAAGGTCTAGCCTCTGCTTTTAGATATACACACTCACAGTGCAAAGCAGCTGACAACTGCACAATTAGATCTCATATTATTGTTAAAACTGTGAGAGATATTTCAGGGGTAAAAAAATTCACTGCATTTAGTTGAAGTTATTTTATGCAAATGTGCAGTATAGTCTTGGCTAGTTTTTCCGCAGGATTCGTGGCTGGAGAGAAAGATGAGGTGGGACATCACCATCATCGCTACATTTCCTGAAGTCATCAGACCAGAGCCCTCACCTATAATACAGAAACCCATTTTTTCTCTACCCAAAGGGAGCAGAACAGAGAAGGGCCTTGGGGCACTACAGCAGTATGAGGCAGTGGGCTGTTACTCCATTGATATCACTGCCCTCATCTAACAGAGGCACAGAAAGATAAATTTCAAAGCCGACCAGCTCTGAGAGACAGAGCCAAGAACCGAACCCTCAGTAACACCAAACCAATGAACAATACATTTGTAAGCAAGGTCTGGTGTGAACAATGCGATAAAGGAAAATCACCTTTCTAAAGTATTTATCTCAGAAAAATACAAAGCTCTGGAGTCGACCCCTATTCTAACAGGTATTAGGAGGGAGAAGAGAGACAGTATCTGTCACTGTTCTTTAACAAAGGTACATGGAGTTACACTGGGGAAAACTGCTGCTACTACCCTACTAAAAGCAGCTTCTTTCACTACTCAGTACTGGGTGGGGAGAAAGGGGGTTGCTGGATCTACAGCAAGGATGCAGAATAGCAGCCTGACAAGTCTTCTCCATGTTGTTTGCTAACTTGGTACAAGACGGAGCAAGGCAGCAAATGCTTTCATTTTCCACTCAGCTATTAAAAGTCTGAGCAATTAAGTTAAACTGAAATCCCTCAGATCAAATAAATTCAAACAGCAGCTGTCAGACTATTCCTCTTCAGCTGCCCTACTGATAAGATGAGCTTGTAAATAAAAACAAAACAAAAATCCTCTTTCACAGCTCTACACAACTCTGCAGTTTGGTTCTCCCCGTGGTCCAGAGTCCTACTCTTTGGATCCTCGGCCTGAAATAAACCCACCCCAACAAACAGGAAATTCTCTCTTGGTGAACTTGCCATCTCCTAGAAGCAGCCACCCTCGCTGCCAGCCCACACTCATTGGAGGGCTGAGGGTTGTGAGGATGGCTGGGGGCACAGCGCAGCAGCGGCTGGGGCGAACAAGAGCAGCCAGCTGGGACAACGGGGGCTTGATGGCTTCCCAGCTGCACAAACAAACCGCAGCCCAGTTCACCAGGGCTTCTGAACACAGGCTGAACTCTAAGGCAAGTGTTTTTACACAGCACTCGCTCTACCAAGAAAAAGAACTCCAATTTAGACAGTGCCCCATAAAACTGCCACTGTCTAGCGTATGCCAAAATCTGCTGCTCCTCTCCTAAAGCCTGCAGAACACAAGAAACAAGATTTTACTTCGGTTTTTACTTGTCGCGATTGTATTTTGTTAAAAACAGTCCATGAAACAGGAAAAATGAATGCAACATTTTGAAGGCAAAAAAGAGGAAACGGGACAATCATATATAAACCAGCTGTTTGACAGATTCAGTTTCACACACACCAGGAAAGGGTATCCTCTTACATGGCAACTTACTGTAAACTTCCTTATTTCAGATTCTGCCTTGCAACCTTCTAAATGAAATGCTCATATATCTTTTCCTAATTACCGAGCGGCTCTTTCTGTAAACAGTAATTATAAAGAAGGCATTTATGTGCCCATTTATGTTCATAAAGGACATTTAAAAAATTTCATTTCCTGCCACCCAGTACAGGTCTTTGTGAGAACTGTATTTATGTAAGCTGTGTTTTCCCAAAGGAAAAGCTAGATGGGATATGACCTAATGTTCCTTGAGTACTGTAAAACTAATAATGGATTATAGAAATGATAAGAATATTTATTGAACTTGGGTGGCCATGAACACAAATGTGGACATGGTTGCAGAATTTGAAAGAGGCAAATGTCCTTCCACAAGCAGTTTAGGCACTGTGATCATAAAGCTATGTATATTTTAATACCTTCACTATCTTCTATGGCCACTTCATAGCAAGTCTACTATTTTCAAAATATATAGTTAAGCCTCCCCGTAAATTGACTGACTTCAGAAATTATTACTAGAATTCACCAGCCAGAAAGTGAGTTGCTTACCCATAATCCGGTGAGAAACAGCAAACTTTCTTTAAAATGGATTCTGTTTAAAATTTATGAGTCATATCAAAACCTTGTTTTCTAAATACAAAAATGTCAGCATTTTCTTCTAGCCTTTACAGCACTGGTGGTAATCATCAGAAATGTTATCTGCTCAGAATGAGTTCTACTTCTATCTTGACACCAGAATTTAAAGCAGAAAAAAAGAAGAGAAAAAGACACATCTACCTAAAGCATCTTTATATGACTGAGGGATGAAAGGGTTCCTTTTATCGCTTTTAAAATTTGAAGTTTATCAAAATTTTCTTTTCCAGCAATTTTCTTAACAAATATCCTTTCAGGTAGGTTCATCCCTTCGCACCCCAGCAGTCATCCTACCGCGACGGTGCGCAGCCTGCTTACCCGCCCAGCCACACGGCTCTGCTCCCCACGGACTACCTCTCTCTACCAACAGGAGGATTAAAATTTGAAGTTTATCAAAATTTTCTTTTCCAGCAATTTTCTTAACAAATATCCTTTCAGGTAGGTTCATCCCTTCGCACCACAGCAGTCATCCTACCGCGACGGTGCGCAGCCTGCTTACCCGCCCAGCCACACGGCTCTGCTCCCCACGTCACGCACCCGTGCCCGTCTCTCCACGGCTTTGTCGGATGCTCCCACAGCCCCGTCACGCATAGCCCCTGCCCACCAGGCCGGCATCACCGCTCCCGGTGTCTCCAGCTGGCCATCCCTTGGGGACCGTGGCCAAGCCTTGCCCTCCAGGCCATGCAGCCACCCTCTGCTCTCGCATGGCACAGACAGCCCCCACCACGCGACGTGGGTGATTTGCAAAGGCACAAAGCGTGGTGTCAGAAGATGTATGATGTTTCCTTCAGTGACTAATTTTAAAGGCCATAAAGTAAATTTTTCATCAGCACTTTAACTGATTTAAAATGACAATTGTCTGTCTTTCTGAAACGTTATTTTTATTAACTATCAGGTTAAATGCTAACAGCAACTGATGCCAAAAAACCTCCCTGGATTTGATTAAACCAAATTTGCAAAGGCACAAAGTCTGCTTTCTAAACACTTTCTTAAAAGACATTAGCAGTGAGCCTACTTATTTACTAACATCTGCTCCATTAGATTTGATAAATTCTTCTACTTCTAGTTCAATTCATACACTATGAGAGTAACATTTTGGCTGGGGAGAGCAGGGGAGGAACCGAGCAAGCAACTGCACCAAAAATAGTTTAGTTTTGGTTCGATTTAATAAAGCCGTCTATTTAAAAAGCAGTGTGTAACAACAAACAAACAAATAATTTAAATAAATGTTCTCTGATTTTTTCCCTTTCTTTTTCATTTCCACAATGTGTACATGGAAAAATGACCACCTAGAACTATAGTATGGCTGGAACTCAATAAATGAGCCATGCTCAATTGCTACTGAATATACTTCTAACCTCTAGGATGAACTGTAAACACTGCAAGCATTAGGCACTTCAAGTGAACTATAGAAAGAAAAATAATTAAAAATCTATTATAGTAACTAGGCTGGTGAGTTCTACACTTTCCTTCTCAGCCAATACTACAAAGTCCAATTTTGACTGCTACAGAGTTTGTTTTTATTTTTTTCTAAAGTAAATATATGCTGAAGTTTTCTGGCTTCTAGAGTTCATTAAAACATAGTTCACCACACATTTAAAGCATTTTTTTTCTTAGAACCAGAGGATTTTTAAGCCAAACTATAGTAAGTGGTTTGTTTAACCACCACATCCATCTTCAGTAATGGGAGAAATCCAGTGTTTATATACAAAACCTGGTTAAAAGCACGCAAGATAAATAAAATAAAAGTACAGTAAAAGGTGTTTTTCCTTTTTTCCAGCCACTGAGTTTGCTGCGCACAAAATATGTAACTGCTTAGTCCAGATGGTTACGGTCATGCTCTTTCACCCAAGTTGTCTGACTTGTTTGTTTTTTGGAATTTAATCCAGGTGTTACACATAAGAGAAAAACTGCATTCGATTAATACCACCCTCTACCGATACCACCAAAACCACTACACACTTTTAAAACCTAAGCACCATGTTTTACTAAAACACACGGGTTTTCCACCATTCTAATCACATCCCACTCAAATAGGCAGGCTATTAAGAAAATGAAGAACAATTTACAATAATTTTGAGTTTGATCTGTAACTCCTTCTTATGTGAATAATGATCAGGAGTGAAGGCAGTTCCTAAGCACTGATTTTTACCACCACCATTAACACAATTCATACATTCACACTCTGATGGCTTTAATGCTTCAAAACATTCATACATTTTACTTTTGTGTACTCATTCTCAATTTGTAAAGCTGCAAGTCAGCAGCCATATTCTGTAACATTTTAAGAGCCAGAAGTTTTAGTTGTTCAAATAAAAATTACAATCTTATCACATGATTACTTATAGCTTTTCAGTATTCCTACTCATGCTGTAAAGTGTGGTTAAACAGAGATGCAGTTGTGAATTATTAATTGTAAATTCTGTATGGAATGCCCTACTCCCCAAATCATGTTAAAATAAATAATATTTTCAGGTTAAAAAGGTGAATTGTTCCTAATTAGAGCTAAGTAATGTTATGGTGTCCTCTGGATCTAGCGTAATTAAAATAGCATTCCAAAGGTCAAAAGCTAACTTGTATTAATAAATCATAAAGGTTCATAATTGCAGTTGGTGCATTATTTTAATTACTAACAAAAAATATGCTTTGAAAGCTATTCCTCATTATCATTGTGTGAAATGTTACAGTCGATGATATGGGGAAAAGATTCTATTTACGTATTCTTTTGTTCTGTTACGATGCTCGGGTTTCAGCTCCAAAGGCAAATCGACTCGCACTAATAATCTCCAACTCAACTCACAACATGTATCTGATGACCACTTAAGGCAAAAGTAGCAGTTTTCTAATTAAAATAATTATTTCCAAGCACTGTGTTAGCACTGTAACAGCCAAACATTTGACTCTTCTACATCATCTCTCTGTACATTAGAGTTCAAAGCTAGGAAGAGATTTTCCAAGATCTTTTTGAAAGGACGAAAAATCCAAACAACTGTGAATATTTATGAGCTCAAAGTGTAGAAACAGGTGTCTACCTACAATCACACGTATGATCTGCTTGAATATACTACCCAGGATACTTATCTCCATAGAGAATTTTCTTTCGCTGTACGACTTGATTATTCACAACAATAGAAAGCAGCCATGCAAGTACTGGAATATTCATGTTTTCATGCAATTTGACTGGCAGTTCTGTAATTGTGGTAAGCTGCTTTGACCAAGGTTTCTATAGCAACAGCCTTACTGTCAATTCTTACCTGTTTTCTGGTCATCCATTGTACTGAGCTTAGTCTCATCAGCTACTGTTAAAAGGTAAATGTATAACGGTTAGCTCAGTTAGTGCCCATGCCCCACATGCACCCAATATTCCTTCTGTTTTGCATATTTTTTTCAAGTTAGGGGACCTTAGCAATGTCATACTGCATGCAAATAAACTGCAACAGTAAGCAAACATTCTGGGCAGAAATGGCAGCAAACTAGTAACCTTCATGCAATGTCAGTCATGTTCACATCACAGGCAGGTACAATATGTTATTTACATGTTAGCACATCACAACTAGTCAACACAAGTCAATACCACCAACCTTACTGTCCCCTGAGGCAGTTGGTGAATTAGGGACTGTAGTTAAGATATTCACAATTATTGTAAAGGAGCGAATCATATCATATTAAATTATTCTGAGTAGGGAATTTTGTGTGTTTGAAAAATTAAAAGTCACTGTTTAAGGTTACTAGAGTCTGCACTTCAGAATCTGAATTCAATGGCAGAAAAATAGATGGGCTTGTTAGCAATTACCTGTTCTCAGTTGTTTAAGAGTTACAATGATTATAGTCCATCGCCTGTCTTAGCTGCTGCTACTTTACAGGGCTTCTGATACAAATATTAAAAACTGGGTCTCAAACAGATGTCAGATTAGCCCCATTTTCTAATTCTGAATGAACTCTTCAAAAAAAATACTCACATCTTTAATACCTTAATCAAAATCCATCTAAAAAATGAGAGACTATGAAGGATCTTTAAGGCTAATTGCATTACAATCATGAACTGAGAACACTCCTGTTTACCCAGAACCCCAGCGTGGTACAGTTCTGCACAGTTATTCTATACGGATTGCTAGATACACTTTTCAGCTCCATTTTAATAAATACTTTTAAAGTTTATGTATAAACATATATCCAGAGGGCTACGATATTTAAATGTATGGGCATTTACAAGTGGTACAAACAATACACAGGCCACTTGGCCATTCACCGTAAGAATACTTTACTCCCCACCAGCAGACACTACGTGCAGTAGTATTGCACATAAACAATGTGTTTGGAATTACAAAATCTATATACTTACAACATGAAAATCAGGTTCAAATAAAACAATTGAAAAAATATCACTCACTACCTAGATCCATGCTTTTGGATTTTCGTGTTTTAACAAACTCCAACTGACTGGCATCTGAAAATTGCTTTGTACGCTTTTCTGACATGCTCTGGCGTCCAAAACCCTCTCGCTGGAAGGCAAGCACTGGATCAACATCTGGACTAAGAGTGCTGTAGGAAGGGAAAAAAATCATGCGAACATTTATCAAGATCACGCAAACTTTCACTCTGCAGAGAAAAGCATTTATTTAGCATGTGACTTCTACCAATGACAAAGTGCACATTTTTAAATAAACCACTGCAAGTAGTCAGTTACACACATGATGGATTTGTTCTACTGCATTGAGCAATTCTAGTTAAAAAATAACAAGAATTTCCCTTACGACTTCTAATGAAAGATATACATATCTGGTGCACTATACATGTACTATCAGAATGTACAGTCCCAACACAGGAATAATTCAAGGGAGAATAAAACAGTTCTTTTTTCTTCATGAGAAACATACATATTCTGTTGACAACAAATGATCAGATTTTTCTCCACCACAAAAACCTTTTTAGTACAGCATAAACAGAATCTGTCCTGCCTGAAGCCCACAGAGCTTTAAACTTCTTCGTTTAAAGACTTTGCATTAAAATTTCTCTCCATATGTGAAATTGCTTGTAATTTTTTCACAATATCTCCTGGTTCTAACCTGGCTATGACAGACACATTTTCACTCATTACTTCCCTACAGAGCAAGTACTCGCCACAATGGTTCCACCACTAAATCAGAAATGGGGGTAACTGGACTCAGTTTTGGTCCCTTCTGCAGGTTTCCTGCATGACCTCAGTTGAGTGAGTCAGGTCTTCAGCGAGCAGTGATTGGCGTTTCAGCATGCTGAAGATAGATTTATTTATGTCAGTCAAGTGTTGGCAGAATCATGAATGCAAGAATGCAGGCAAAATTTGGTGTGCAAGCTAAACCCTGGGCTTGCAATGTGTCACCATGGCCATAACACATGTTAAAAACAATAAAAAATAAAAAAAATCTGCAAGACCGCTTATTGCTAAGAAACAATATGAAAAGAAATTCACATAAAGATCTTCTGAATTCTGGAAAAGGGAAGACTATTAAAAAGAACCTGAGGGCAAGACCAAAGAATTTAGATTTCTACTTCAGCTGCTCACAGAGAAATCAAAAGCATAAAATGTTGAAAAAATTAGTATTTTGCACCATTGTTATCTGACCTACAGGAATAAGATCCCTCAAAATCCCCCCTTTGGTTGTTGTTGTACTTCAAGATAAAAAGAGCTAAATATTCTGTCACTGAGATCTCCAAATAGACTAAATGCCATTCAAAATACTGTATACAATAGTAACATCTTTCAAAAGAATTATTTTCTACTTTAAGAGCTAAGTATAATACACATCTCATACCTAGTGAGAAACAGGCAAATGGCGATTTTTTGCAGAAACCAGCCTATACTTTCAAATTCTGTAACATGCACATGTTTATGTATGCCATGTACTATAATTTCTAGAGGCATCTTCGATCAAAAATCACCTGGGTATTGGGCACAACAGTGAAGAGAGGTAAGGAAAAGTGTCCAAAGGCATCAAGTACTATAAAGGGTGAAAACCACTGTCTGCATTACCAGGCAGCCTAGAAGAAATTCAGGCCAGCGGTGGCACATTTACAAATAATAAGATATGTGCGTGTGACAAGCACATAATATTTAAGTAGGAGCAGGATCAGAGATTCTATGAATAAAGTCAATGTCAAGTGCCTTTTGACTTTAATGTTTCTGGCTCAGGCTTATAATGTTTTACATTTCATTACTGCAACTATTTCAGAGATGTCTGCACCATTTAGCAACGTTTTGAAGCATATGCTTAAAAGCTCTGATGAATCAGAGCCCAAACTCAAAAATAACTATTTAGTCCTCACATTCACTCCCACAAAAGAGGGAAAAAATTATCTCCACATGATAGAAAGATAAAACAGACAAGGTCAATATACACTTCTAGCATTTACAGCAGCACAACACATAGCTGAATAAGAACCACCTAGTTCTGAAAACATCCTCCGAGTGACACAGCTGAACTTGCAGGGTTTCAACACCTTTCGTAATCAGATCATAAATGACTTTCCCTAGGCCACACAGGAGTTTCTGGCTCACTGCTAGTCAGCCCAGTCTCCGAAGGCCAGAAAAATGTGGTTTTACTAAGTGAGAATTTTCTCTAGCAACATCTGTTAACACAGCTCGCGTTAGTTAAAGTTGACCGGCTTCATCTTGCTGAACAAAATGTATCCTGTGATACTTCCTTCAAAAAGGGTGAATTTCTAAAACTATTTCTTTTGGCTGTATGCTCCTCTTTTCATCTGAGCTTGCTTTGATCCACATATATGAAGCGTCTAATAAAGCTGAATATCATTTTCATGTAAATACAGTGTGCACATATATATTCAACTTGAAGTCCTAAGAACAGACTAAATCTCCAAAGTTTAATAAAACTCGAAAAGGGCACCAAAGGTCTCGGAGAGAGCAGTGGGGTCTGGACTCGCTCTCAGGAATTCTGGAGATTGGATCCCAGCGTTTCCACTGACACCGCCTTTAGGGTCTTTCTCTCTGCTTCCCTTATCTACCCTTGTCACACCTACCTTTCACACACACTTATTAGGGGGATTATGTTCCACGTTTGCAGAGTATCCTGCGTAGTAAAGGCGCTGCTTAGCACCAGAAATCACTTGTTCTCTGACATCACAGCATTTCATACCCTTTTACAGTACAAATATCTGAGTCCTATGTAGAGTCATCAGATTTCATGTCCTGGTTTATTTTTATTATTAATTACTTAAGAGTGTGTTCTTGTAACTAAGGCAGGAGCAGATCACGGGAGTTTGAATGCAAGCACATTGCCTAAAAGTATTCAAAAGCCCCCATGAAGATCCATAACTGGAAAAGCCAATGAACACAGAAGAACTAATGCCCCTAAAAATGCCTCATTTTAATATTTTTCAACTACATTAATAAAAGACAGAGGTGAATTTAGTGCAAGTGATTAAGCAATGCCAAATGCAATTTACTATATTCTAGCATACTTAACAAATAAGATTTCTGGAATGACAGCTGATCCTTAAAAGAATGTAACCGTCTTCTGACCCTCAATGTTATTAAAATTCCACTTATTAATCCTGCCTTATTGCCCCTTTGTTTTCATAACATTTTCATCAAGGATTAGGGAGATATTGTGAGGCTGGAAAAGCTTACATTTTCTTCTGTGATTCAGAACAGCTGCCATTCTTGTTTGGATAACCCTTCATCCATATTCTTAGTTTTACCCTTTGTGCCTTCCAGCCAAATCATACAATGCACCTTCATTTTACAAGTCATCCTTCAGCCATTAGCAGCAGGAAATTAATGCAACAATCTAATTCTACTGCTATTTACTTTTTTACAAATAGAATACATTAGAAAGTAAGGCGCTGCACTGATCTACTCTTTTAAGTGCAATTGTATCTGAAGACCTTTACAATTTCTCATAAAGACACACATCTAAAGGTTTTGAGCGTGATCAATTCCACCATATCTAATCCCTATTTTCTTTACTGTTACTTTCATTTTTAAAGAAGTACATGAATAGCAAGATACACTGCAGAAGTAAATGTAAAAGCATCTGCAGGTTTCAAATGGGCTCTTACTTTATGCTGTAGGTTTTTTGCTCTTATTCAGCTAAAAAATTCCCTCAGCAATAAGCTATTATGTGCAGCCTTGAGTACTGTTCTATTTAAACGTCCCAAATTCTCAGCTGTAAAAGCTTTTAAAAAAGACAGATGGACTTTTTCAAGGGCCCAAATTACAGGTATGACTTGTCCACGAGAAGAGCTGCAACACTAAAAAAAAACCCGCAAATAAGGATGAAAAAAATTACCTTTTTATACAACCATTAAAACAGTGCTTAAAATACAGAACTCAATTCCTGATATAAGATGAAACACACTGATATAAAGCAAAGAAGCAGCTGGCAGGTGCATATCAGCTGGCAGGTGCTATTGCTGTTTTACTAAGATATTGCTGACATACTCATAACAGGCTAAAGAGGCAAGAAAAATACGAAAATTCCTATGCTTCACACCATTTGTGGTAATTATCTAGCTGCAAGAAATGGCAGTGTACAGGGGTGGGCTTTTATTTTGTTATTGCTATAGATAATTACAGGACATGCAAATTAAATCTTAGATCTGTATTAATTGTACTAACTAAGCAATAAACAGTATTTCTTTGCCAGGAACCTAAGCAAGTCAATAATGGAGCCCAGTGCATTTCTCATTAAGACTCTTTTATTAAAATGTATAAAAGTAATTAGATAGTCAACCTAAGAATCACAGAAATTATTTTTATTGTAGATAAAACTTATAAAGTTACTTTCCACATTTTTAAATGTGGAACTAGTACAGTACACTGCCTTTGCATGGTAGTTACAAATCATACAATAATATGAAAGGTATTTCATCATGCATAATAAAGAAATCTTCACTAGTTCTTGTTGCACAAGCACTAACACTAGGGCAAAACAAAGAGATGCCTTGACCTCTAAGCAGAATTTAGAATTGCTGTACATTATTAGGAAAATCAAGAAGGTATACAGAAGTATTGAAAGGCTCCTAGATATATACTGGAATATAAAAATAAAATCTTTGAAATATTTACAGTGATGTTTATAAATCAAAATTTCCAATTGGAATTATTATTTCATCTTTCATAAACTCCAGTGTTTAAATTTTGCAAAGTCTTTTTTTCAAAAGCTAGCTCAGCTGGCAACCAAATTAATATTAAATCATCAAATTAACACAGCTATATACTGATTTGGTCATAATAACAATTAGTAACATTTCCACAAATGTGCTTTGACAGAGCACAAAACTGCAACCAGAAGTAGAAACTCTAACAAATTATCTGTACAGACTTCCCTCCTGAAACAGGGACTATTATCAGTTTGAAAACAGTGAAACCCAAATGTGGTGAAACAAAAAAGAAGACTAATATTAGCAGTAGCCAAAAATTAAACTAAAGAAGAAGAAGTAACTGCGGTCATCTCTTTTTTCCTTCCACTAAACCACGTTCTTACCAGTCTGTTGACTCATTAATTGCAGCTTTAGCCCATCCACCAGCATCAACGGTGCCAAACCCAACATCATCATGGGAACTGGACGACGACTGGTCAGAGAGATGAGGAGGGAGTACCGACAGCCTGTCATCTTCAATAATGACCGTGTCATCCTGGGGCATGTTCACCGTTGGAGACAGCTGATATTTACCTGAACAATAAAAGGGAGAAAAAACCCAAAACCTAAACAATGGCAGAGAGTGCCTTGAACAATATTTAATCACAGCTAATAAAATTTGATGTCAAACTGCAATGCTGCTGATAAGCGTGACACAACACAGGTAATAAATTAACTATGTCTCACTTTATATGCATCTTCCTATGCAGAGTTCCGAACAGTAGTATACAGCAGTTGTGCCTGTGACCTACTCCAAGAAGACCACGGAATCACAGAGGGTTGATGTTGGAAAGTACCTCTCATCTGGTCCAAGTCCACCCTGCTCAAGCAGGGCCACCTAAAGCCAGTTGCCCAGGACACTGACAAAATGGCTTTGGAATACTTCTACTCCACCACTTCCCTGGGCAACCTGTGCCAGTGCTCAGTCACCCTCACAGTGAAAAAGTGTTGCCTGATGTTCAGAGAGAACCTCCCGTGTTTCTGTCTGTGCCCACTGTGTCTGGTCCTATCACTAGGAACCACTGACAAGCACCTGTCCCAGAAGACAGTATCATCTCTTGCATCAAATTGTTCAGGAGAAATAAAAAATCAGTTCAGCAAAAAACCAGAGCTCATCACTTCTCCTGATCAATCTTACCCTCTTAAAATTTGAAACTTGGTTCACTGCTATTGGGAACTTGGATTCCTTTAATAATGCCTCCAGAAAGGTAAGAACTGTGAAAGGTGATGAGAACTCATAGCTAAAGCTCAATGACTCCAACTTTTCATTCTCTCCTTTAAAAAATAATCTGGATGCTCACATGCAAAACTTGGAAAAAAACCCACCTAATTCTATTACCACCAAATTCAAATAAGTTTTAACACTGTTGTTAAAATGCTTAAACCAGAGCCATCACACACGAGACACACATAATAAAGACTCAACATTAGTCTTTGTTCAGCAGCAGACTTCACTGAGTTAATTTGTTAGAGTAGCAGTTAAAAAGTGATATCAGTTTTAATGTGCATATAAATATTACAAACCCACTACCACTGCTGCTTTAATAGGGATAAATATATATACCTAATTATATTTTCCAATAATCATTCCTATGCATAAGATTGTATAACTATTTTCCAACTGCTGTATAAAAAGCAGAAGCGACTTTTAAACCTATAGAAAACTTAATGCCATCAAAACAGACTAAAAAGCCATAAAGAATATCAGAAGGAATATTTTCATTGCAATGCTTTGTAACATAACTATGGTTTAAACTCAAATAAATCTGTTTTTCAGGATACATGCATGAGATACAGAGTTGGGAGTATGGCGATTATGTAATATTATTTGGACAACAGTAGAAATACAGAATTATCACCATTTAAAATTTTAACTTGGAATAACAGAGGTTAATTCAGTATCCAGAAACACTAAGCTAAAACTTGCTCTAAGAAGAATAAAAAGTTGCAAATCTGGATGAAAATTATTTAGTTATCTGAGGCAACGGCTAATTATTAAGTATGATTCTTCCATATTAGCCGCACATAATTTTTTATGTGACCAAGTATCTTTAAAAATAGTTTCCTCCTGGACATTGATGCTCAACTTAAAAAGATCTGTCACTTAAAATGTTTGGTCCTAACTGTCACTACACGCAACATTATTTCTAATGAATGATCATGACATTCCATGAATTTTATTCCTGGAAATGTATTATCTTACTAAAACAATTAGTAAAATTGTCACATCTCATGAGAAGAAAAGCATTAGCTTAATCAACTCTTAATCTGACAAGAAACTGTAAATTATTCTAAAAGTATGACATACCACAGTAATCATAACCAGCAAGACTTGTATTTCCATAACATAAACTGCTTCCACAGACACATCAAATATCTCCACACTTTATGTTTCCTACAGATATGGAAAAACTGTGTAGAATTATGTGGAAATGATTTTTTTTCCCTTTTCTGCAAAGGTTTCAGTTACCATCACCACCTTTGCAAGCAATTACTTAAAAACAAGCAAACAAACAAATAAAACCTTATGCGTAAAGAGCTAGCTAAAATCATTGCTGCGCTAGATAATACATTTTGTCTAGCTTTCAAAAAGGGGGAAAACCTGGTTTCAAAAAAGATCATTGAAGAAGAATGAAGAAGTGGCTGGAAGAAAAAGATATTGCATGGCAAACATCTCATCACTGTCAAATCGAGATAAATGTGTTCAGTTTGCATAACAGCTCATTCTTTGCCCAGCAATAGCTTCTTTGATGGACGGGTTAATGTTTAGCCTGGTAATGTACTTCTTTCCAAACATAATGCCTACAAGACTGTTAACTCTGTAGTTAATAATGTCTCCAAAGAATTGATTGTGAAAAGGTATAACCTTATGGCATTCGGCAGATTGAACTTCCCATTTGAGAGGCTACAGTAATTCAGTAATGTTTTTAACTTTTCACTACCCTTCTTTATAGCTGACAAGGGTGAAGACTGACATTTTAATAGTTGCTTTGGAATTAAGGAGAAAACCCATCTGACGTGCCTATGCTTCTCAGTGCAGATGAAACTAAAAACAGGTGAAAGGCTTCACCTCCAGCAGATGGTTAGACAGACCTCAGCAAGAGACTCAACACGTCGTTTGTAGAGAGTTCAGCTGAAGTGGACAGAAAATACCCTTGGAGAAAGCAACTCTGCAAGTGTTGTGAGAAACATTACAAGGAACCAGCAAAGAACTTCAAACCGAGTAATCATCACTATATTTGACTGATCTACAAATCCAAGACACTGCTTGAGCTGTCGACAAACCTCTCTCAGACAATAATTTTCCCTCGAGCTAGAAAAGTGCTATAAAATTTAGACTCCAAATACACTTCATGTCCAGTTTTGCATATATTAATTCAACTTCAGCAAAGTAATCCATAATAATACGTAGTATTTTGGATGGTAGAATCAAGAGGCAAAAACATTCTCCCTTTCAAGTGTGTCTCACCTCAGGACAATGCGGCTCAACTTTCTTGAACAAGTTACCAATCTAAACAAGAGTAGCCTAAGGACAATACCAAGGTATGAGGTAAGAAGGATTCCCACTGTCTGTGCAGAAAACAAAGTCTCAGAGCTCCACTACCAAATGGCTGGTCTCCAGGTCTATGAGGACTTTCATCTTAGAAGGAAAACTATGCCAAACAGCAAAACTTCAAACCTATAACAGTATAGACCTGATAGAGAATAGAAAATAGTTTGGACCTGAATTAAACCACCAACATAAATTGCTCCAAAAAAACCCTGAACATGCACAGTACATAAAACGAACAAAAGGCTTACTCATGAAGAACCCAACCACTCCAGGTCCTTTCAAATCCTGAAAATCCCTAAAGTTTGGTTAATCTGTTTGCTGTAGTAACTTCGCTCCCGTACTACACTGCATTCTCACGGTACTGGATCTGGCTTGGTTCTTGTGCTTTTGCTATTGCTTTCTCTTTAAAAGAAGGTCAAAGAAATCTGTTGAACAACCTTACAACATGTTCAAAACCATGTATTAACTCATGAGTGACTCTCATGAGAATTTTGTTATTGTGGGATTCAGATCAATGATACACTTCAAGCCTCTTCCACAAGCAGAGGGCCTTTCTTGCTTTGACATGGCAAGTGATTCCTAACCTGCCTGGCCAAGAAATCAGCAACAGCTACTTTGTGATGAATAATGAAGTATTAACCAAAGTAATAAATAGAGTAATAAATAAGACAAATAATAATAAAAGAAAATAGTGTTGTTGATTATAACAATAGTGATGAGACTTCCTACAGGAGGGATACAGAGAATTGTGCAACAAGAAATTGGAATTTCTCCAGACCTTCATTTACTTATTTTTCACTAACAGCGTATTTGTCCCCAGCAATATACTGGGATTTGGCAAAATTTCCCAAAGATACTCACATCATCTAATTTTCCAAGCTAAATAGAGGTGGGATTGGGAATACATGTGTGAGGAACATCTAAGGACAAAAATGTCCCCACTATATCCAGGCTTTGGATCCCACGGGAGTGCTCAGATCTGTCAGGACTACTGTAGCAGACCACCATGTTCTGGTGAGATTCCTGGCCAGGGAACTGCATTCTGCTTGTGAAGGGTTATTTTCATTTCATTGACACACACACTCTACTTCTCTAGCTAAATTTTTTTCAGTAGTGCTTCCTCCTGATTCTATCCTTAAGACAGCAATTATTTATGTAGAGAACAAAGTATCTCCTGTTGTGTAGGAACTATCAAATTCTACGAAGTTCTGGGGGATCCTTCAGGATGAAAAGCAGATTCAGTGCAAGCTATTGTTACTCTGTGTATCCCCTGATAAATAACCACTGTTTAGTTACCGTTAGCAACAAACCCCACCATGTTCATAAAAAAAAAATCAGCACCTAGAAGAAAGAGATGAAAGAGGACTTTGTACTAAGTTGTTTGTTGAATAAGAATAATTTATATAGACAGCAGCTATGTATTTGAGCATTGCAAAACTCAGGAGCATAATGGATGATATACAAGAACATTGTATCTGAAGAAGAAAGCTGAATTTTTAATCATGGACCCAACCAAACCAGCATACATGGTTGTTATTTTGAACGTACTAACAACATGCAACCTGAAAATATTAAAAATAAACAAATAAACATAAGAGTTTATTACAGCCACCTACTTCTTGGAAGAGAAGACCCAATTTGTATAAATAAAAAAACACCTCGTCAAAACAAAAATATCATTCCCTGAATACAGAAAGTGGTATCTCCTCTCCATCAGAAATTTTCAGTGAAATATTATCAAGTGAAAAAGCATGAGAAAATCTACAATAGAAATAATCATCTAGAAAAGTAGCTCAACATAAGAATTGTCAGAAACATTAAAAGATTCATGTAGCCTTTTTGCAGTAAGCAAACATTATTTTACATAATTTAAATTGTTCCATAATTGGTATTTTATTGGTACTCTCACAGCAAGGCTCTGACAACCAGTTCTTGCTGTCAGTTACGGATTGAAAGAGTGAGGAAATTGTCTTAAACACCTTTCCTGAAAATTACACTAGATATATTTAAAAGAAACAAAACTCTCTTAAAAGTCTTGCTCCAACTTTAAGCAAGGAGTGAAAAGAGCAGGCATTTTCCAGCCCTTTAGATTATCACTTTTGAATAGTCTAAATCCAGAAGGGAGAAAACTCAAAATCCATCCATTTCATCCGATAGCAAAAGCAGCAGAAGGCCCTACTTCTTCACACATGAAATCAAACCGTGACCTCCTCACCACTAGGTGCCGAGACTACTAAAAGTTTATGTAGTTAAATCCACGGAGGGGTAGACAGGACTCCGTGAGGTGACTCAGAGAGCCCCGAAGTCAGAGGGCTCCTCTTCACGGGGAGCGCGCTCCAGGGAATCAGCACTGCATGCAGCACTCCTTTGGGCTTGTGTTCGCGGTGAGGACTGGCACGGGGAGCTGCAGACCTCCGCTCCTCCTCAGTCAGGCTGTTCTTAGAACTAAGCCTTGCTTTTAGGCCAATTTTCAAGAGAGAAGGAAAAGCTTTGGAAGACTCATATAACATCACATATATGCTCTCAGGAAAATAAAAGCAGTTCTGAGGTTTTTCTCATTATCAATGCTAACAGGATTGGAAGCCCACTGCGCAACACAGGACTGGGTCTCACAAATTTCAGCTACTCTGGCACAAGCAACTGTGCCCAGCTCTGCCAACAGGCAACTGTACTCCTGCAAGAAAGCATCCATGCAATAACATCACGAACGACTGTAAACACTACAGTCTTAACTTAGTGGTACTGATCCATTCAGAATCACAGAATGGCAGGGGTTGGAAGGGACCTCTGTGGGTCATCCAGTCCAACCCTCCTGCCGAAGCAGGGTCACC